TCGCGGGAGCTAACACTGTCAATTTAATTAAACCCCCGTCGCGGCCTGGCAAATCCTTGGAGGCCGGGCTCCGCTCTGGGCCCGGCGGGCCCAAAGCCAGCCGCAGACCGCAGCTGACGCCTCCACAAAGCTGCAGACCCAAACTGAAGCGCAAACACCAAACTTGCGACTTTGAAACGCTTGAAGCTTCCGACCTGTTCAAATTCCAAACTTTCAAAGTCTACAAATCTCAAACCTTGAGAGCCAGTCGGACTCGACCGCAAAAGTTTGAAGTTTGAGTTCGATGCAGCCAGTCGAGCTCGAAAGTTCGACGAGTTGGAAAGTTTCGGGTTTGAAAAGCTCGATTTTTCACGCCGGCTCTCTTTTGCAAACCAAGCTGCTCAAACTTTCGAACTGTAGCACCTTTCGAACCTTCAAACCCTTCAGCCTTCAAACATTCAAACCTTCGAGTCGAAACTACCTTGCTGGAAAACATCTTTGAGCTGAGCCCTGGCTCAGAAGGGTCGTGTTGAATTGAACATGCAGCCACGCGAAACCTTCATAATGTCTACTCCATGAGACGGAAAGTCAAGAGCAGCAAGCCGAATCCTTTTTCCCTCCCCTGAGCTGGCAGGATCAAAGTAGCGCTTCAGCAAACGACCCGACATGTGGGTTGTTGTTACCGAGAGCTCCTTTTGTACTTATAGTGCCTTTGCTTGTTGAAGGCTTTCTGACTTTGATGCACGTTCTTGTAAACACTGCCCTAATGTACTACACTGTACTACTAGTCACTTCCACGCGAAGGCGACGACGGGCGATAGCCTGCAGCTCACTTGCCTCAGCCAGCTGGCCCAAACAGAAGTGCGGATGGATGGTGTATTATGGACTCCCGCAGTAGTATCGAGTAGTATCAGCCTTTATAAGTCATGTAGGATGCTTACTAATTGGTAGATGGTTCTGGGCTTGGCAAAGTCTCGGGCGCTTTGTTTTAGTAGTCAGAAACACAAAACCTGAGGATTTCCCGTTGTCCTGTTCACTCCTCGCTGTTTCACTGCATAGCCACAGAAGCAGTATGGGGTGCTAGCGGCGGTATTGGCCAACCTCTGCCAACAGTGCTTTCTGAGTTTGGCCGGCTACGCTGCTGCGAATGTGTTTCCACAACATGTTATGAATGGATACTCTAGCACTCTTGTGCAAGGAGTGTCGAAGGCCTGAAACCTTGTAGAGCCTGTTGAGCTCCCAGCCACACAAAAACTGGAACCTAGGAACCTATTGTTGTAAAAAGCAGAGACCAAGATGATAACCCTAGACCAGCTGAACCCCATAGACTCTATCACCTCCTGAAAGAGATGGGGTGAGTTTGAAGAATTCCATCTTCAGCTCTGGGGGCTTAGGCTTTGGAGGTTCGGGTTTTCATGCTCAGCACTGACAGCGGTTGTGGGGGCCCTGGAGTTTAGCGCTCGGGGTCTAGGGTTCAGCAGCATCACTTGTATATAGTAGCAATGAACATGGTAACAACCAGCTGCGTCGTGCTTGTCGTCTTTGTCACAAATTCGACGCTGAAGCACTGATTTAGAACTGTAAGGCGGCTTGCAAGATACCTACGGCTGCTTGTAGCTCAGGAGCCAGTTTAGACGGGTAACACTAAGGAAAAGCAGCATTCACTATCAGCATGGAAGTCAAGGTCGTGAAAGGGTTTAAATAAGAGTCATTACCACTAGTACTGATCAACACAACAATACAATGCGGTGTCTTGACCACAACGTTTGCGTCTGCCAAGAGGCTCATCCTCTGGCCACGATCTTCGACAATGCTCAGCTTAATGCCGTTGCCCTGAATCAAAACAAACTCTCGAAGCTGCGTCGAGGAGTTTAGAGAGGAGCAATGCCCAATGTAAGGAATTCTCGAGGCTCTTACTGCATATATTGGATACCCTTAGCCTGTACCCTTCAAGTGTAGATTTGGAGCTGATTTGAATGATCGGATGCATGTCTGTTGGCTAAATTGCTCCAAGCCCAATAAATGTGGAACGGCGGTGCCCATCACAAAAACAGACATGGGACCTTGCTTTGGAACGCACTCCTGCTGTCAGACTGCTTCGTGCCACCCTTGCTATGGCGAGCAGTACTGCCAAACAACAATTTCCTACTGCCCCTCCTTCTATGTATCTTCTGACAGTAATCACTCCTCCTGCCACTGCTTATCATGCTTAGTGTTGTGAAACTGGCTTCTTAAGAGGCCCTAGAGGCCTAACGACCCAAAACCTTGCTTTGGAGCGGCTCTTCCTTGTGTATATTGCGTTAAGGGTTTGGGGGTTTGAGGGTTTGGGGTTCAAAATTCCGACAACAATTATGCAAGATGAGCTCAAGCGGAGCCTTCGAGGTTTCGCCTTTAGCCGCTTTCGCCTTTGATAGAGGGGAGGGGTCCCATCTCGAGGTTTCGAGTTCGACAAGCATTGCCCGCTGCCTTTGGCAGCGAGATCCATGGCTTGTTGCCCGAGCCGATGAGAAAGACGTTCTCCAGGCGCGTATTGAAGCTGTGACCGGCAGCGTCCTGTGTTCGGGCCTATTGGGTACGAGTCCTTGGCCCCTGAACCTCTGAAGCTTCGAGCTTTTATAAGGCAAACACTCGGAGTAGAAAGCAAGAGTCAGAGAGACGACCGCTGCAATGAGACTCCTCAATAAGAGACAAAGACATGCTGGCTTCGCTTCGCGGCTCGCTTGGAGCAGTTGTGATTTGAGGCTAAGGCCAAAGCGTCTTTTTGAAACAGGCTTCAAGCTTGCGACGATTTTACAGGGTCCTGGAGTCCTCGACATTGAAGGAAAGGACGAGGCCTTCTACTTCAAGAGACATCCTCTAGATGCCCTTATGTAGAAAACCCGAGCCAATCTACCTTGAACCGTAAATCTTAGGCTTAGAACCCGAATTGCTGGTTCTCTACCTTAGCCGCTTGCAGTTGTTGGGATGAAAGCCTCGATACCTACATTCTTGGAGCCCCAAAGAGCCCTCATCGAGAACAGCACTCCGGCACTGGAACTTAGGGCCTTTAGGGTTTTGGTGGTGCTCTCACTGTCGAAGGAGATGGCAGCAAAGCCTGAACCCTTAAAACAGGAATAAACAAGCATGAACCCCATGTCCTTGATGTGGACAATTTCGAACGAGCCGGGGTGCTTCTCACGGTGCGTAATGGTTCCGACTCGACCTGTCTAGTATTGTGCATTCTGTGCCTTCCTGGCTTTCCGACCCCAAACCTTCGACTTTAGTTCTGTCTTGATGCCTGTAGCTTGAGCTCTCAGAGAAGTCCCAAAAGGCCAACAAACCAGGAGCCCCAAGGCTTTGAGATCGCGGGCTCGAAGGCTCGAAGAACCGAGGGGCTGAAACATGCCCTCACACAGAAACCTGAAAGCTGACGGTCAGCCATTCTGATGCGCCCTGGGCACTGGGCCTACCTTCGGGGTCCCTTGCTAGTTGAAGCCGCTGTCTAGGCACCGACTGTTTGGAGATGCAGGACCTCCCGCGGCTGAGGCTTGGGATTTGCAAGCGGGCTCTTCTCCCAGCTGAGGTCACTGCCGATGTTGTTTCCACCGCTGACCATCACCTGAGTTTCGGCTTTAGGCATGGGGGCTAGCTAACTAATACTAGTCGTTGTGGTCGTGGTCGTCACTGAGTCGTAATCCCTCTCTTCAAGACAGCGAGGCCAGGGCACCATGTTGCCAACCTCGAACTTCACATGGTCCAGGATCTTCCCGCTCTCCAAATCCAGCCTCAGGCGCTCTTCTTGGAAGCCAGAGGCCGGGCTTTGTGGGGGAATCGGGTGGTGTCCATGCTGGGGCTTGGTCGTTAGAGTCTTCAAGGTTTCCGGCTTTTGTGTGGTTCGATCTTGGGAGCCCGGAATGTTCAGGTGGCCGGGCCTCAGGTTCAGGGGTCACCGAGGGCTGGGGCGACAAATCAACCAAACTGCTTGACCGGCACTCTCACGTGGCACACAATCCCATTGAAAGGCACGTGCAACTAACTACATAAAGGTTGAGGGCCCACAAGTTCGAGAGAATCCTAAGCAACTTTGTCGTTCTTCGCAACCTCAAACATACCACTATCATACTCCAACTACGAGAACCAACGTCAGATCCTCGGGTCCAAGATTTTCTTGAGCGACCCCATGCGGTCTGCGTTCCTAGGAGCTGGCCTCGATCCCAAGCCGAGCTGAGATGGTAGAATCTTTGCGAGAGTCATGCTGAGCCCTGAAACTGCGTACAAAGGGAGTTTCAACAGAACCGCCGTAATGATTACGCCGCGATGGCTATCAAGACGACCTCGTTACACCCGAAGCCAAAATCTGGAAACCCTTTCCATTGACTGGAGAAACTTCGGTTGTGGTTGTGTTTGGGAATCGGTTCCGATTTCGCCCGGATTTTGAGCTACGCTCTACTACAGTTGTTTAGGGATTGCAACAGAAACAGGCTGAGCAACTGAGAAGCTCCTGAATGACTGGGCTGCCACTGGCTCAGGGATGCAGCTGGTGTGGTTTTGCGGTTGAATCATGCGCAGGTGAGTCACACCAATGGCTGCTTGGGACAGGCACGGTCAAGGCTTCGGGTCGCTTTAAGACGCTTTTTTCAGATTTCAATTCGTCGGCATCGAACTTTCGGAGCTTGCTCGAAGTCTTTCAGCTGCCAACCTTTCAGCTTCTGCCTCCCAGGCTGCCAGCGGCTGGAAAGGTGGTCGAGTACAATTGAAGAGAGGCGGTGGCCGTGTTGCCAAAGCCCGGAGCAACTCGTCAAACTTCAGAAACGTGTTCTTTCGGGACTTGCACTTGGGGCAAGGGATTTTCACGAAAGTAAACTGCCCGCCAAACATCCTCGTGAGAGGACACGTGTTCGTGGGCGCGTTCCCAGGAATAATTTCGAGCAGGCGCTGTTCCAAGGCGCTGTTAAGCCATCTGGCGGTGTTCCAGGAGCCACCACCGTGTGCTGCAATGATGGTGTCCGCCTGAGGTACGGCTTGAAGATGTCGGCATGTCATACTTTGTCATAGTACGATTCACGATGACAATGATACGTAGGTTTTTTGCACGTGTAAGTGTAGATAAACAACCACTGACATTAAGTGCAGAGTTAATTACTCCACTTGAGCGTATATACACGGACTTATTCAAACTGCGCAACAAGTCTTTCTCGCTCGCACTCTCTCCCTCTCTCTCTCTCCTCGCGCTCTCTCTCCCTCTCTCTCTGCAGCAGTCAGTGTTCACAGCTGCCTCCAACTCAGATCTCATGCTTCTTTCTGCCCACTCTGGCTACGGCAAGAACACTCAGGAAGTCGGCCAATCCAAAAAGAATGAAGAGTTAACAACCTTCAACATTATCAGATACAAACGGTCATGACGGTTATAGAATTAACAGAAGCGAATGGTGATGGCCGGTAGCATCACGAGCACTCCAATAGAGGAAACCTCGTGATAATACCAGCAGCAACAAAGACGATCGCAATCGGTAGCCACGAAGAGTAGCAGTAGCAGCCTTCGATTCGATTTAAGATTCGGAGCGAACGTAGTGGAATGGTGCGGTACCGTATAGCAGTCCTACCATTGTAGCCGTCGTGATGCACAGCGCTGCTGGGCCTGGCGCACCAGGAAGATTTGATCCAAGTAAGGGATGACCCCGAAGGACACGAAAAGCAGCGTGACGTTGGAATAGACCTTCGACAGTTGGAGAGCCATCTCATCGCCGTTGTAGACATCCCGTTGCTCGCAGCCTTTCTGCTCGGGATGCTTAAAGCAAGTCTTCGAAGAGATGCGGGTGATCCAGAGGAAGAAGTTGGACTCTGTAGCTGTGATTCGGCAAATCTCAGCATTATAAAGCTCCAAGTTGTGCTGACCGGCGAGTTGCCGCAAGAAGCTGCAAGCATCTGCATATCTCTGCGGCTTCTGTCTCCACTGCGACTCGAACCACGGAAGGGCAGCGATTTGATAGGAAAGCATCAGAGGAGAACGCCCCTGGCATGACTCGTCCTTACCGAACTTGTTCCAATGAGGGCCGGTGTACCCGCTGGGGCTTGTAAAGACGTGCTTCACACGCTGTACATATGCAGCCTCGTGCAAGCACAAGTCGGGGAAGGACGCCTTCACCGTAGAAGGGCAGTACTGTATGACCTCAGACGACAGTGACTGCCAGTCTTCGAAGAGATGAGGCCTGTCCTGAGACTTATCTTTCTGGCCATCGGCATAAACGGACTTCCCAAAGCCATTGTAGAGGACAACCCGCGTATCATCTCGGTCGAAAATTGCTGTCTCCAATAAGTTCTGCACTATGAAGAGGTTTTGCTGATCTGCTTGACAATGTCCCGGATTCCCTGTTGAGCAGTCGCCAGCAGATACATATGTCAGACCCTCCCGAAAAGACTTTTTCCTTTGGAGCTTCCAGTTTGTCAAGGCAGCTGCTACATGATCGACCAGCTCACCCCCTACGTTGTCCTCAACGATCGTGAAGACATGGTTGAGTCCGCCGTCCAGCTTCTTGCGGACTTGCATCGAACTCTTCAACGGATGCTTCTTGTGAAGCGGCTTCAAGAAGTCCATGAGGTCGATGCTTTTGTTCATTGTACATTGGGCAACCCAGTGCAGCGCGCCCTGGGGATCCAGGACCTCCACAACGTCATACATCTGGCAGGACCATACTTTCTGCTTTTCGGAGTATTGGGCACAAAGAATCTTTGATGCACCATCTCCACAAAGGCTCACATGCTCGTCCTGCAGCTTCCGGTACTTCTGCAGTCCGAGTAATTTCTCCTCGCAGGGGCGAAAGGGCGGCAACGTCGCCGCTGTGAACTGGTAGCGCGACCGATAAGCCCCTGCCTGGGGCGCCTCTGATGCCTGGGCCGCCTGGGTGGTGAACTCTGTCTGAAACGACTCCGAGGACTCGGATTTAGAAAGATTTGCCACTGTGCCAAACTCCTGCTTTCTCGCAACGGTGCTGCCTCCAGCTGCAGGTGGGCCCTTGTCGGAGACGCGGTGCAAGTTTATCAAGATACCTAGAACTAGAAGAAGCCCCAGCACCAGTAGGCTAAGTCGGCGGTTACAGTACCGCATCGCCACATGGGGGTGCCGCAGAATGGAGAAATTGTAACCCAGAGCTCGGCTACCTGATTGACCTTGTAGGCTTATGGTCTAAAGTGAGGGGACCCAAACCGGAAGCTCAGGAGACATGATCGGCTATCTAATCCAAACTTCGGGACCTGATAGGCCTAACATGAAAAGAGAAATGCTGTACCCGACAAAGTCAGGGACCATGGTTCCGACAGCCCCGACGTGAAACACAGCTACTCTCTGGCTTATTCTGGGGTCGGATGTTTTGCATGTGTGAAGCACCCCTAAGCTGTAAACAGAATCCGACACACGACAATCGCCAAGCCAATCGCATCCACGGTTTGGGGGGCAACTAACGAGCGATTCTAATTCTGGGATTGGAGGTCTGAGCCGGAGAATTTACACGATCTTGCTTGATCGACAATTTATCCCGGCAGCCGAGAAAAGATTAGGAAAGTAGGAGTTCGCAAGCCTTTGGAGCTGCTGCACCCTGTCGCGCAATCCTCCAGTGGTCTTTGATGCTTTTCTTCTGCATGCTGGTAGGACGACAACGACCGCCAGCAACAAGCTGTCCTGCACATTTGTCTATGATCACCATTCTGGTTGAATCTTAATTGCAACCTTGCTTCATTCCCCCTTGGAGATCAGGTGCTGGAAAACACTTTCCAATCGTCGTTTGTGCTTGGGCGCTGAACCCTGATCCCCAATCCATAGATCCCTGAACCCGGGTGCACTTCGAGGGCGGCACCGGATCGTGTCGTGAGCCTGTGGCGAACCGACAGATCTGGAGGATATACTCGGTGCTAAGTAACTTACACTATCCGTGTCCCCATAACCCGTATATGTCCTAAACCAGATTTATTCAACAAGCCTGAGGTCAAGTTACATCAAGTTACATCGTCTGGCTTTCCCCTAGACCCTAAACCTGGTACAACCTGGTACTGGTCTTTAGACTTTAGGCTACAAGTCAGGGTCCGACAGCAGGGAGGCCCCAAAACCAGTAACCATAAGACTCTATGTACATTTCTAAGGCCCTGAACTGGCCCAAGGGGACTGGGAAGTTCGCTAACCGGCGCTTCGAAAGGCCTTGATGTCCGGATCTGGATACCGGATGGTGCGGCCGTCGTGGGTCTGTGCATACGGGACGCCACGCGGGCCTGGCGGCAGAGGCTCAGCTCAGCCTTTAGGGTTGAATTTCAGGCCCCACGGTTTAGGTTTAGGGCTCAGGTTGAGTGCAGGAAAGATAGGCATGCTTGTCTGTCTTACGCATGTAGCGGAGGCCAAAGACGGAGAGTTAAACCGCTGGCAAGATTTCGGCATGTTCTTGCTTGTTGGGAAGACTGGCTCCTGATATTTTACCCTTTCTACTTAGACACACACACACACATTGCTTGAATCTCTAAACCCTAAACCCTAATGGGGAATACTGTGGCGCTCCCTCGGAAGTTTGCTCCCCGCCTCGGGTCACCCGCTTGACGCGGCAAAGCTTGTAGCTGGCCTCTTCCTTCGCCACCTTCCGACTTTAGTGCGGGCATGATGCTTTGGGGGTTTTCAGACCGAGGTCTGGACAGTGCAGTTTTCGGATTTCGGGTTTGAGGCTGGCGTTTGCGTCTGGGCTCGGTCTGGGATGGTTTCGGAGGTGACGCTGCCAGGCAGTTCTTGCGCGGATCAGCAACCAAGAACACGTACTCCTTTCAGCCAAGCCACACGAAGCCCCACCGTAAGTCGTTCAGCCCACATCAGCCCCTCACACAATCCTGGACTTTGGACGAGGGACCCCTGAACCCGAAAGCTTGAAAACATGCACGCAGGCCGTTGTGTAAGACTCTAAATCCTGAACCTCCAAACTTCAGAAGCCCTAACCATAAGCCCCTAACTCCTAAATGCTTTCATGCATATACACATGCTTCTAGAGGGCAGTACGGTGTGAATGGTTTGAGGTCTTCTTACGCAATGTTTCTTTTCAAAGCTGCACTCTCCTCTACTGTGCAAATTAGGAGTGCCAAGCAACCCGCAAATTCATGAAACAACTGGACCTGTTACGCCAGGCTGGCTAGTGAGAGGAAGCAGCTTCGTACCAACACTCGCGTACAACCAAGCACGCAAGAAGCAATGAAGGGGCTGGAATCGTTAGACCTTTAATTTGTTGGGGGTGGTGATTGAAGGCATCACAGATCCCTTAAACCCCTGAAGTCCCTAAAGCGCTTCTTGGATGGCTTTCGAGCTGTAGGCGGTTTCCAGAAAGGGCCGTGCCTTGTGGAGATTGAAGCGGCCCTTGGTGTTGTACAGCAGCCGGAAGTTCTCCTGGACACGCGGGTTTTCTGGAAGGCGGGGGGTTTGTCGGGGGTGTTTGAGTTCAGGGGATCGGGGGTCGGAGGAGTTGCCAGTGGGTTTTTTGCAACTTGGAGAACATGGGATCGTTGATGCCGGCTACTCCTACTCTTGCTCTGGTTGCCGCTGGCTGCAATGATGAGGCTGCTAAGTCGGATACTTCTCGTTGATTCTGCAGCATCCGTTCATCTAGTACTTCTGATCGCGACGATGTTGCCGCTCTCTACTGCAACTGCTGTGGCCTCTAAAGGGCACGGGCTACAAGGCTACGGCTCAGCTTTTTCAGGTCTTTATCTCTTCAAGGGCTGAGGGATACGGGCTTTGGGTTTTGATGTGGGGTTGAGCGCCGTAAGGTTGGTTGTTGTTAAGCTGGACTCGAAAAGGGATCTGCGTGTTGGGGATGCGCGAATTTTCAATGAGGAGCCGCACGAACACAACTTTTGCATCCTTGGTCTTGTCGATCTGGACCATGTCCATGAAACCGGCTGGGTAGAACATGTCCGTGCGGACCTTGCCGTCCTTGGACATCTTCGGTAGGGCATTGGCATCTAAGGCTCTAGGCTGCGTGGACGACAGGGCGCCAGACTTCATGCCAAGAGCACGAGCACGGCGTTTAGGGTTTAGCATCTTGGGCTTGGAGTCATAGCTTTGTGGTTAAGGCTTCGGCATCAGAATCCGAGCTTTTGACAAGCCTCATCATCTGAACACGAAAACACATGACCTCTGCCTACCAGAGCCTCAAGAGTTCGAACCGCGGCAGGTTTTCTCCCTTGCACGCAAGTCTCGCAGCTGTCCGAGGCTACCACGTAAAGCCTCAGCAAAGAAGCCTAGGGTGTAAAGATGGTCCGCTACTGCCAGCAGACGGTCAACTCGAATCAGGCATTTTGCAGCTTCACGTCGGGCACGTTGGTGTACCTTGGCCGTTGTCATGGAGCGCTTTCGAAGCTGCAGCCCTTCCCGCTGCCGGCATGAAGACTGTGACGAGTGCTCCGTTCTCGACTCCGGGCCGAGGTGCACCCAGTAGGTCACGTCACTCTTTGTTGACCAGGAGGTTTCAAGGCTCTCGAGCACCTGGGAAGGCTTTCGCATGGATCCTTCATTGAAGGCAACTGTTTGTCAATTGGACTGCTGCATGTACGCATAATACTGCTAGCTAGCCATCCATGTTGACGTTCACGGTCAAATAGGTCGATAATGGTATATAAAATAGATACCTGTGCATGTATCTACAAGCAGGTAACTTCAAAGAACCTGATGTCCGTCGGCCGTCCTGACAAAGGCGAGCACTTCTTGACTGAGACTCACGTTCAGCTGAGAGGCCCCAAGTGACCTCAGTGTCGTCGGCGGAAGCTCGCGTGACGTTACCAGATACCTGCAAGCACTTTTTTGGAGGCGAAAGGGGTAAGGGTCGACAGGTCGCTGGATCTCTGCACCTCAAAACTGCGGAAATTGACGAACGCAGCAGGAACGCTGTGAAGCATGGGACGTCAGTGGCCCTGGCCGTATTACGTCACAGCGTGTGCACCAAGATACCACTAGCTCCACTAGCAGCGCTGCTACTTGGGAGGGCCGTCCGTCCGGGCTGTCTGCCCAGCGGCTTCAGCTTGGAGTTCTCCTCGCATAGACGTCGAAGGCACTCCTCGGTCGCTTCCATCGCTTTCTGCAGCACTTGGTGGAGATGACAGAGCGGCTTTTTTTTGTGGGTTCCTTCGGAACTCAAGAGACTTCTGCCAGAAGTGTTTTTCAGGCATCAGCAGGTGCTGAAGCCTTGTGCCTTGCGAAGCTTGTGAGGGATCCGTTGCATCAGCTGCGCTGTTCCAAGTCCAAAACCGTAAGTTTTTTCGGAACCCCAGCCAGGGTGGCAGCTAAGCACGGTTCCGAAAGCCTCCGGCCTGCCTCGGAACGCTGAACATCAGACTGTTGCTCTCGGTTGCTATGGATTCTTCCTGGTAAACTTCTTGCTTTTGTCTTGTTCTGTTGCTATTTCTCTTGTTGCTGCTGTTGCTGACTCTCCTGCTGTGGCTACTTCGCGTTGCTGGGGCTGCTGTTGCTCTTGTGTTTTTTGACCGCTGCCCTTTGTGCTTCTCATTGACTTGTCGGCCGAGGTTCCATCGCCCGGTCATCGAAGCACGTGGAGGAAGAAAAGACGATGGTCGAGTCCGACCAGTCCTCCTTGAGGTTTAGGCCCGAGCTTGTGGTATCACCTCCGGAATCCTGCTTGCGGGTTCTTGCCTTGGGATGCCCCTCTCTGGCTCTTCCAGCAGCTTCAAAGCGCTTCATCAGATCCACGCTTCAAGCTCTGCATGCGTTCACTACCTTACTACATAGCCCAGTGTTGGTGGAACAGGAACGGATGCGGCCATGTCGACCTGCTTGGACTTAGGGCTGCTGGAACGTGCGAAAATCAAAAACATCGCCAGAAGCTTGAGCCCACTAACCCTGAGAAAACGAACTGCAAGCCCTAGTTAAACTGAACTGAACCTCTGTGACCTCCGAAACCAAGAACACTCCTTGCAAACATCGCCGTTCACCAGCAGGATCTCTTTGTCCTTGCTAACCTCTTGTAGCTATCGAAGCTTAGCTAAAGTGGGGCAGCTCAGGTCTGGGCATGTAGGCTTAGAGTTTAGATTTGGGAGTTGGGGATTCGGATAAGCTTCCCTTGAAAGGCAAAGCACACGGCCCGAAGGGTTGGTTTGAAGGATGAAGGACTCCCTTAGGGTGCACTTTCGGACTCAAAAGTCGAGGAAGCTCCAAACCCAAAGCTCCAAGACCACATCAAACCCGGAGCCCGATATTCATCAAAGGGCTTAGGAGCCTTTGTCACGCTTCAAAGTATTTGTGCGTTCCACGGAACTTCCTCTTGCTTTCGGACTCAGGAGTTCTTCTTAGCCTAAGTCGCCCAACAAATTGGAGCTGGGGAGCCTGGTGCGTGCGCTGGAATTCCTCTGCATGCCTCACGGCATCGTTGTGCCTTTCCTTCACGAACTCGATGCCACGAACGCGTTCTTGGTAAAGACAGCGGAGGTGTGACGGTGCTTACGTGTCCTCTTCGTTTCTGAGGCGTGATAAAGCATGCTTTCGAAAAGTGCTCCCAAACGTAACCCTCAGCTTTCTGCTTTCTGCAACCCCCCGGAGGCTTACGGGCTGAGGGCGGCTTGGAGTTCCTGTTCTGCAGGCCTTCGTCTTTGAAGGAGCGCATGGCTTGCAAAGCCAAGCATCTGAAAGACTAAGAGTATATATCCAAACCCGAACTTTGTTTGAACCCCAGACCAGACCTCGCACGGCTAACCGATGCCCAAACATGGCCATCTCGCGCACTGTCTCTATGTGTGTCTTATAGTCCTCCAGGCATTGTGGGCACCGAGGCGCGCATCGGGGTGTTCGCATAGACCTGCAGGGCCACGTTGCCGATACCCGAGCCCAGGTCCGTAAAGACATCCTCACAGGCGGAAAAGGGGAGAGGACTTGGTGGGGTTTTGGGTTGAGGAGGGCTGTTTAGGGTTTATAGGGTCTAGTTGTGATGCTGTTGTCGTCTTAGGGTTTTAGTGTTTCGGTTTTCTACTCTAAATCATGTCTGCTTAGGGGTCTTCATTATGACACTGTGACAGTGAAGTACTTTTCAAGGGGTCCGAGAGTTGCTGATGAGGAAGTGTCTTGGAGCTTTGGGCCGCTTGGACTGGTGGTGTTGGACTTAGAGACTTAGGGTCTGTTTTGCGAATATCGCTTGGAGCCTGAATTTCAGGCGTGCTTCGGAACAGGGCTGCAATGAAAGCCGAGCAACACCCCAAAGCCGACACAAAAGAAACTCCGGAAATTTGGTGAACTACTCGACAAGTATGGGTGGCAATGAAAACCCATGCTAGCCGCATCAAGTCACTGACGGCTCGAATTCCAAGCGCTTCAGCACGGAGCGCACCTTAGAATGCGCGGCTTTCGCTCCGATCGAGCAAGGAGGCTTTGGTGATGCTTTAGGTCGGGATGTCGTTGCACTATGCACCACCTGGAGCTTAACAACCAGAAAGATGGTGTAAGTGGTCTCCAACCGTTTACATTTGGGATCTCATCCGGGCGCCTCGTGATGCGCACAGGACGTACACATCGATGCCAAGGCGGTTTGTCAGGCTTCGGGATGATGGTATGCCGTATCACAAGACACATAGCGCTCTCATAGTCAGAGTCGTCGAACCAATGGAGTGGCATAGTCCGGAACCTTCATCCTGCACCCTCCGCCGCTAGGAACATCAACAAACCACACAAAAAATCTTCAAATGACCCTCAAGTCTCAAGTCTTTCTTTCTGCCACCACCGAAACCATGAAAGGCCCTGAACCCTAAACTTCGAGAGAAGCAAAGCCAAAGCGCCGACTTCGGGGTGATCGTGCCATAAGCGTACGTGATGCTCTCCTCGCCTGAGGGCATCTTGGGAGGCCGCGTATATACCTACGTAACTACGTAACTACGTAACTGTATCTATATATATCTATACCTGCAAAAAAAACATATATATATATATATATGCACACACACACACTACTGTATAGTCCTTCTTGCTCCTATCAGACCAGGCTTATACTGCAGAATGGCCTTTCTTGCCGCTGTCGCTCCAATCGTTTCCAATAGTTGTAATTAATTATCAATACGGTTTGCCAGTAGGAGTTTTTACGATGCGACAGAAATTGAGGGCCCTGCATTGCACACCCCAAACCTTGAAGTCTTCTAATTTCACCTGCGAAAGGCTCTCTGAGTTTCTTCCAAGATGCTAAAGGAAAAAAATATGTCGCGCTCTTCCTGGGAATTCGGATTCGCGAAGTTTCCTGGGCGAGGAAAGGTAGACGGCCCTGGAACAGAGCTTTATCCCATACTATACTACAGACCTTAGAGCGTACTCTACGTAGTATATTATCTTGTGCCCTACAGCTGCTTGGGGTGAAAGCTTCCAGCGCCCTGACCCCCAAGCCGCGACGATGTGTGCAGTAGCTAGCATGCAAAGGATGCAGAATATGACGCACTGGGCCACAGGATGGAAGGAGACGGCATAAGGTGCGCATTCGGATGCTGGAGTGTAACATCGGGGAAGATACATAAGAATCCATGCCATTACCTGCCTAGCTTCCAAATATTTTGGAGAGGCAGCTGTCATCACCTCGGACTTGCACAGGAAAAGGGGCATATCTCATGGTTGGACTATGTTGGAGTGCTTCGTTTGGAGCAATTCACGCAACTGAGTGCCCAACGGCCCTGAGAACAGTGAGCTGCGATAAGCTGATCTCTCAGTAGCTACACAGAAACGGAAAGCAAAAACCTGGACTTGGGAACATCACCTACCCGCAGTATAAACACTTCGGTTATTGCCCCCATCGCCGAGCACCTGTGTTGACCATGTCTCTCTTAAAACCTTGCATCTCGAACGAACCAGGGCCCAGGGCTTTGGCTTTGAATCCGGCTGTCGGGCTCAGGCTTCGAGGTACGAGCAGCTTCATATTGTCACATTGGCCCCAATACGAAAGCCCGTGCCACAAATCCTCTGAATCTACAGTGAACCCCAGAAAGTTGGAACATGATTTAAGGATGATTAGTGCTGGGATTCCCTATACTTTACCTTGAGGGCATGAGAATGATGATGTTGCAACTTTCTGGATTCTGCTATATCCCAATGCAGCCACTTTGGCACACCTCTGCGGGTGAAGCGGAGGCAGTGTCCTGGTCCCGGTTTGTGTTGGGGCTGCAGTTGGGGCTTACGGCATCAGTTCATCTGGCTCGTCCACTCTATTTCTAGAGTGACATGTGCACTCTTCAACGAGATGATGAAGTTCCTTGGTTGAAACTCACTCCACAAACATATTTACCATACATGCATATATATATATATACACACATATATATATATATATACATATATATATATGAATGTATGTAAATTTCCATCTAGAGAGAGAGAGAGAGATACATCTATATATATATATATATAGTGTATATGTATGTATGTATGTATGTATGTATGTATGTGTTCAAAGGCATCGAGTTTTTTCAATCCGTGCTTTTGGGGCGTGCTAAATTCCTGCAGCTTTCGTGGCCAAATCAAAGAGACAGGATCTACTGAAATTACGAAAACAAGGGAATCCCTGAATGGACCCCACACAACGGGGATCCTTCTTTCAAGCCTGCGGCACCCTGCAACTCGTGAAAGTACCCATCCAAGCACAAAGCCACATGATTGACATATCCACAGCTATGGGACTAAGGTTGTGGGGGGGTTTGTGCGCCACTGTACAAACACATGAAGCGGAACAGCATGAAAGCTCCGGAACAATCTCAATTTTCTGTGGAGATCACGGTCAATTACAGAAGGAAGCAAGCTCACATAACAACTAAGAAGAGCCCCAAACCCAAACCGTCCATTGCATTCAGGTCGTTGCCTTGGCGAGGGGTTGACTCAGGAGAGCTGCTGCAGAGAGCAACGCTCGCCTGGAGCTGCCAGGCCTCGGGAAATCCGCATCCGCGGGTATCAAAAAGGTTTTGGGCTAGATTGTAGCATTAAGTAAATTGTGGGATCTGGGCTTCGCGGCGTCGGTGTTGGCTCAGCCTTGAGGGTACTGTACAAGTCATTGGACACCCAGGACCGATTGCATAGCTGGCTGATCCTGTTAACCTTAAACCCTAAACTGCCCTAAACACTTAACTCGTACTCCTCAGCCCTACACCAGGATCTGCGTGGAGTTTAGGCTGGGTGGGAAGATATCATTACTATTAATACGAAAGTTGATTCGTAGTTAGTAGTTCCGTCGTTTCGACTCCTAACATTCTTAAGTTGTTCTTAATATTCATTGATGACTTTTGCTTGGCCACGGTTTGTGTTTTCCCTTCCTCCGGCCATCTGGGACCTCGCAGCCTCCGAAGGATCCTGGACCTGAGAATCTCGGCTCTGAACCTCAGAGGGCAAGGAGGGTTTGCCCCTACATACTGGGTTTAGGATTTCGGGTTTCGGGGTTTCGGGGTTTTGGGTTTTATAAAGGTAAAGACCGTGAACACATGATCCAATCCCGAGGAATCACTGAGGGCATCACTGGAGGAGGAAGCCTGCGACAGGGCAGGGGTTCCGGGATCTTTCGGCTGGAGGCTAAAGGGCTTGGGAGATTGCGGGGCTCAGGGCTTCTTGTTGTTTTCATTTCGGGGTTTCAAGTCCTGGGCTCAACCTAGGCTTCCACGAACTTGGGGTTTAGGCTTCGGATTTGGATTCTTGTAGCTGGAATATCTTGGGCTTTGTGTTAATTAATGGTTTTAGGGCACAGCACGTCTCACGAAGGTAGACAACAGTTCGACTTTGCGCTGGCTGATCGAATGAAGGATCTTGCGCCCACGTCCCTCGGAATGGTCATGCGAGTGCGCCAGGGCGTTGAAAAAACGCCGTGGCCTTCAGGCCCCAAACCATCCATTCCCTTGCGGCCGAAACATCTGTCCAAGGCACTGGCCGGGCTTTGCAAGTACAGAGCCTAAGGTGCTTAACCCCAAATTTCTCAAGGCCCAAAGCCGCAAGACATAGTCCACAGCAACACTACATGGCTGCAACATTGGCTGGGCACGATGTATAGTTCAGAGCCGTAATGCTACGAAACACTGCGTCCTCATCCCCTCCAGCCTAAACCCCAATGGCTAAAATCCCAAAGCACCAGAAAGCCCAGACCTGCGATGGCAGAGGGCTCCGGCGAATGCCGAAGTAGCAGAAGGGCCTCTGAACTCAGGTCACGGCTCCCTTGAAAAAGGGTTTCGGGTTAAGCGAAGCCTGAAAAAAGGGGACTACAAAGGCCTGGGCAGAAAGGTCAGTACTTGGACTTTTGCGGGCGTAGCAAAGTCTTATGTGGGCTCAGGGAATTTGGGAAGTTGGGGTGTGGGTCAATTTTGGACCAAAGCAAGCTTCGAAAGAGGGCCGTGAACCCCGGCAGCTTGTGTAGTAGGGCCCCAAACATGCACATAAACAAACATCAGGATAGGGACATCCCTGTAAATACTTATGCTTATGTCCTTCTTAAACTAGGTTAGCTGCTTAGCTTTCAGTGGCAACCCCGAACCCAAGAATCCCCGGAAGAGACCCGAAGTTGTTTGAGGCAGTGGCGGAAGCCACGGGCCAGGCCCAAGCGAGTCCTGTGCACACAGAATTTCTGTCAAAGCTCGGCAAGACCTGATCGTAAACGCACAACCTGAAAACTCGGACAATTTGAAACAACACCTGTTGGAGCCTGTTTCTGATAGATCAATCGTGTGCTGGTCGAAATCCCCGTAGATTCCGAGGTGGCGGCAGAAGACTCTGGGGTATTGGTCTCTCTAGAGATGCCAATAAGGATCGCTTGGAGTCCTCGCGTCCGCGCTGGACGTCCTCGCTTGCAGCTCGTGACCAGGATCGCCATGGCAGAGGCGAAGAGATTACTTTGGGCCCACTATCATAGTGACACAGCGCTTATGCGCTGAGGCACAGGTCTAGATCCCTAAACCCCAGCCCTTCTACATACCGAAATGCATAGGACTCAACTCCTGAGGGACAGCTCGTGGATTCATTTCTTCGAGGCTCACCCTTCTAGAGTTTGATGCGAATCATGTTTCTTGCTAGTCCCTATCCATATCTGTGCTGCTCTGGTTCGAGTTTGCGACTTTGTCTCTAGCGCTAGTCCATGCAGGCTGAAGCTTCGAAAAGATTTCAGCGAGCCGGTTCTGGAAAACCTCTTTTTGAATGCTGGGACATCTCAGCTGAAGGCGTTGTGCGGCCTCGAGTTTCGATTGGGGGCCGAAGGGACTGTGGGTTCGGGCTTGCCAGTTTCGAGTTTGGGGTTCGGAGTCTAGGCAAGGGTTTATGGAATTCCTGCATCTGTAAATTCAGGATCGAGTGACTGGGGTGTTCCGGACTCATCCCAAAATCTCCGACAGCGACACCAAACATAACGCCGCACAGTTCTCATTGCACCCCCAGATTATAAAGTCCCGCAAGAGACCGAGCAGCTCCTCTGCAAAGCTTAGCAGAACCGAACAACTGAACCGCAAGTAATGCTAATCCTGAAAGGGCTTCGGGATCCAGACCCCTGAACCTCGAGGCCAACAGCTTGCGTCTTCATGAAAGGCGGCTTGCCGAACCTCCTTTCTCGTTGTATATTCTTCAGGGTTAGGACTGCATGCAAATCTTGACTTGCAGCCGACAGGCTTGAATTTCAGCTAAACCCCGTGGTCCCCTCCCCACCCCCGGGAACAGTGAGTAAGCTCCTGGCAACCTTGATCAGCCTCTGCATCACAATCCTGAGCTCTGTTATGCTGCGGTGACGAGTTGCTGCTTTTGTCTATATTAGGACATCGCGGATGGCAGCAATGAGCGTGACAATGCTTGCCGCGGATGTTTGTGAATGCTCCTGCCAACAACATCACACTCTTCCTGTCCTTCCATGTCATGGAGATGCCCTGCCTACACAGTCTTCTCGGCAAGGCTCCTATTCACTTCGGCAAGCCTGCGCACACGCCCTGGAAGTGGGCTTAAGGACATTCTGATTCTAATCTCAACTTGAGGAGCACAAGTATACGATCGCAGTCAGGCAGTCCTGAGCCCCTTGTGTTCAGGCCGCCCGAAACATTTTAGGATATGAGCGCGGTACAGTGAACCTGCATCAGATACGAAGAACAAAGAGATAGCAAACACTGTGAAAAGCGCCGCAGAATTGATCAGACTCCCACGTGACATACCCGAACCACAGACCAAGCTTCGGGTTCCTTGATCAAACCAGACTGCATCCATTAAGGGCCCGAAGGAGCGTTGTGTGGGGATCTGGCCGGTGACATGGCTTTATCTGGGAGCCTCATGGTACGGGTTTCCATGCTGCTGTGCGCATGAGTAAGTTTAACGCACACCCGGAACCCGAAACACATCGTCCCCGGAGCCAGGCGGCATCTTCACCTCACGGTAGGTCAAGGCCTGGGATCGGCAACTTCAATCTTGCAGCGGTCGGCGTCTTATGGGCGGGTTCCGTGGAAAACAAACCTTGGCCCCTGAACAGTAAGCCTGAATTTGTTTAGGCGGGTGATGTGCGCTTTTGATTCATTCGTTCTCCGGACCAGACCCAACAAAAACTACGCCTACTCACACTAGAAAGCGGCATTTTGGGATTCATGTGTGAGGTTCGGGGTTTAGGGCTGAGAGGTTGCGGATTGTGGAACTCTGGGAACCTAAGGGTTCTAGCAGTTCTGGTTTAGATCGCTTGAAGCAGAGAGGTCGGCCGAGTCTTATTACTTTGCAAGGCTTCTGCGAAGGAGCTTATATCCGTGAGTCCCAAACTGTAAACGCACGTCTCAGGCGTTGTATCTCTTTGAGCACCCTAAACGCCAAAACTCCAGCAAAGCTTCTCTGCCTTGGATGGGGGCCCGATTCGGCCCAAATATCCTGTGGTTACACTGTCGTAGTAGAAGCAACCGACAGTCTCTAAGGATGTCCCAAAAAGTCCCCGAAGCCCCGAGCCCTCGTCCCTATTCCGATGTTGCCGGGGCTTCCGGCATACTTCAGGCGCTGACGCAGCATGACCTCGCAGCTCGCAGCTTTGGACGGGGAGGGGAGGGTCCTTTTTGGGGCCTCGGCATCTCAGCGCTCCTTGGGGCTCTCTCTCGGGCGGGGCGGCAACACCTACAGCCTGGACAACTCTGAATCCCTTCTTGAAAAGCGACCCCCCACACCCCAAAACAGCGAGGGAAGAACTTGCCCAGGGCCACTTCCTCACGCTGCATACAGCTTTTTCATAAGCCGAGAAGATTGAAGCCTACGCCCGACCTAACCTCCTAAACTTGAAACGCAAGTCGAAGTCGGTCAAGTGGCGATCAGCGGCATGCACTCTCGGAGCTTGTGAGGACCGGCAGAAGGCTTCGGTGCCTCTTGAATTAGTCTTGGGATTTGTAGGATTTGGATGCCATGTTCTTCGTGTTTGTGTGGGGTGAGATTTTAGTTTAGAGCTTCGAGGTGTAGGCTGTTCTACAGAGAGGCCGTACACACTGTACACACTTAACATAGACCAAGTGTCCGACCTTCGATTGAGCACGGAAGTGAAAACCTTATAACTTATCCCCCAAAACCGTTATCAATGCCCTAGTTTAGAACTGTTCTGTGATAAGGGCTTTTCAGGGGATGCTGTTGGGGTTCGTTGCAGGCTTCTTCGTCTTGTGGTTCAAGGCTTCGCATGTCAGCTGCCATGAGCCTCAAGCCGAAACACACCCCAGTCACGAACAAACCGCCGGCTTTCGGAGGCCGATCCATATCCCCTCCGGGGTACTTATGAAAGGCCTGATGAACGCTGCAGATTCTCAAAACCGCCCTCAGCTGGGCTTTGGGCCCATCGGCCACGAAGCTTGTCCAGCATCCAATGCTTTGGCGCCTCGAGCCGAACGCCGCACAGCGTCCGTCGGTGTATTGCAATTTAGCACAACAAGCAATGCTATCCGACCCGTATAAATGTGGTCATGATGATTTCCGTCATCATCCCAGCGCGACAAAGCTCCGAGACAGGTGAACGTGTTCGAGGCTTTACACACAGGTTTAGTTTAGCAGTAGCTCCTCCCGCCAGAAGCTGCTGAGTCTGTCTTCAGGTCCACTGCAACCCGACGTTTTGCGTGCAAATCGAGCTTCATGCGGGGCATTCGGGGCCTGGATATCACGGATACATGCCGTCGAGTGCCCAAACTTGTCAACACCCCGTGTGCGCTTCTGCCGGACTAGTGGGTTGGGCTTGGCGTTTTGGGTTTACTGCTTTACTGAAGAGTCAAGCAGCATACATGCGCTTCAAGTGCTTGATGATGCCGCGAGCCATGATGTCCTGGGTCCGTCAATAGGGTTGCTTCAGACTGAATTCTGTCTCATGAGGGGAAGATGTTCCCTGCTAGGATGAGCACTTTGGCAAGGAGCTCTTCTTTTCGACTATCGCCGAAACCCGAACGACAAAAGTCACACACCCGCTCTGAGGTTTGGCGTTGCAAGATTTCCTTTGCGGTTTTACAGACATGGTAGATCTCGGGCTTGTGAAGGTAGGGATCGTAGGAAAGGCTAGAAGGACAAGGGCTGGGGCCACAAGCATATGGAAGGACAGCAGGCGTAGCCAGAAAGAGTGTCGCTGCAACAACAGTAGTAGTATCCAGCAGCACTGCCACCACCATGACGGTCACAGCGACGGGTCGGCAAACATCTGTTTAGCATGGCGGAGTAGATGTATCATTGAGATCAGTAGACGTTCTGTGCTTGTGGAGAAGTCTTGCTTCAGGGAGAAGGGAGCATTGTGGATTAGCCAGGATCCATGGGTCCTTTACTTTAGGCCTGGGCCTGCAACCCCATGCAGCCAAGGAGCTCAAGTCAGCTAATGGGTCCGCTGTTCTTTGTGGGGAGGGAAGGCGCTAAACGTCCGCTATTGATCCGCATAGAGACAAGCGGGGTTGGGCGTTCGGGTTTTGGATTCGGCAATGACCGAATTCCAGTATCAGTTGTACTTCCGGCATGAGCAGTTGGGAGAGCTGTGATTCTGAAGCACTGGTGACAGGAGCCGCGTCCGACTTACTAAGAAAAACATGCAAAGCGGAGGAAGAAAGCCCCCAAGCCCTCGGCAACGGGTCCCTCAACGGACACCCAACCTTCAACAATGCCAGAACTGTTTTGGGATGAGGTAGAGAGAGAGAGAGAGAGAGAGAGTGGAAGGATGTTTGGAAGCAACGACCCAGCATGGGCTCCCTCTAACAAGAGCGCAAGGCAAAAACCTGCTCACAATCAGACTGAACCATGGGACGCAAGTCGAAGCCGAAAACCTCGCGGTTCACAATTCCTGGTGTCAACCGGGAATTTCTGGGAAACATGTCGCCTTTTGCCAGACACTGCTTTGAAGCCGTCCGGATGGTCGCAGTGAAACGTAGCGAAAGTTGCTCGACAGCAGAATGGTACTTAGGGGCCTAGGGTTTACAATTTGGGGGTAGAAGCAGCCTGAATTGGGCATGCGACTACATCTGCAAGCTCTTGTCAAGGTAATTATATGCATGTCGCATGCATCTTGAACCCTAAACCCAAACCCCACCTTTAGGCTTTGAAGAGATCCAGAAACGATGCAATAGACTCTGCCTCATGATCAGTCAAAGCTCTCCTGCGCTCTGCTGGGTCTTTCAGTCTTTTTCAGGAAACCCGCAAGGGCTCTGCTTTGCAGGGTTTAAAGTACCTCGCAATATCAGTTGTTAGAGGGATTTGGGTAGAACAGGAGCCTGCCCTGATCCTTCCTTCTTGCGGGGCTCGTCCACTGGGTCAAATGTACATCCTTGGGCACGTCCCAAGCACTGAAACACCCGAAGATTTGAATCCCTGAACCCCCCCAACCCTCCAACGAAAACCATCGACCCCAAACCATGGATGTCACTT